GTTCGGCCCTGCCCAGTAATACGGTTTCAGATCCATGTACCGCAGGTGCTCAAATACCATGGAGTTTTGACCTGCTTAAATGAACCCCTAGACCGCTAGAAGCAGGGTGCCGTGCTTACTCCGCTTCAACCCGGTATCACAAACTGAAAAAGAGTATATAGGAGTTAGCAGCGGTATCGAAAATTAACAGTATGCTAGTAAACCCATAAGATCAGGATTAATATTTCTGTATCAAGAAACATGATCGTTAAAGTAGATAGTGCAGGATCAAGGCGGATTCTTATATTATTTAGTCTCATTAATATCATCATGCAGAATTCTATCTAAATGCTCGCTTGCCGCAACATCGGCGGCATGGGTTTGTTGCTTGGAAGTTTAGTCTATGAATGCGGTGAACTTTCAGCCGTTTGGTCATAGTAACAGCCAACAAACAAATTGTTGCACTTCCTCCTACACTCGAAATTAGTTCATTAGATTTGCTTTTTTCATTTGAGAATTTTTCCTGGCACGCACTTTACACATGATGGCTGACATTGCCTTCTTGAATAACGACGTGGAGCGTTTGAAACGGGTTAAGGAAGAGAAACTGCATGGCCGAATGAGTTCCCAGTCAAACGATGCATTCTCCTCGTAGTCGTTCGCTTTCATGATGTCCCTCATCTGCTGTGTATACCAATCATAGTCCGGTTGGTCGGCGTAGCTGGCGGCCTTCAGTTTATTCCAAATTTCGTAGAACTGTTTCGGCATATCGTCAAAAAGTTGTTCTGGCTTGATGTTGTTCTTGATTTCCCCAACGACTTCCTTTTTTACTGTTCTCCAAGGTAGGTCACCCTTGTACATGTCAACCAGCGAGTACAAGATGCTCCACAAGTCGTCGTGTCTGCCGAGCTCTTTCCCTTGGTGGGCGTTCGGCGAGGCGTAACGAGTTGTTCCTCGAAATTTGGCCTTAGGCCTCGGCTGGCACATGATGCCGTCCTCTTGCCGGAATCGCCTGGCCAAGCCGAAGTCCAATATGTAGACTATTCGTCTGTCGTGCTCTTCGATGCCAACGACGAAATTCCTCGGTTTCACGTCCCGGTGTATGTATCCCACTTCATGCACCTGCCGAACACTCTCGATGCACTGTATGCCCAAGAGAACTACGGTACACAGCGTGAAGTGCTGACGGCTACATTTCCTCTTCAGAGTGGTCAGGTTTCTACCTGCCATCTGCATAACAAGGAAACATACGTTGTTGCTGACTCCATTGTCGATGAACTGGAGTACGTGTGGCCTGTTCTGTAGCTTTTTCAGCACCTCTGCCTCCAGTGCCAACCGGTGAGTTCTTGAAAACCGAGATTCTATCTGAAAAGAAAGTGTGTTGCTCGCATACTTCTCCTGCTTTACTCACAATGCATTAATTTTTAAACGTAATGGTCAAATGAGCCCGGTCAAGAACAATCATTTTCAGTCAAAAATAGTCATTTTTCATAACTTATTGATATGATGGCAGTTCAGTTTAATGGAATAACACACCGATGGTGATTCGGAATCAGAGGATTGAGGGCATCATGCATATTAGTCCCCTAAGAATGCCCTAAGAGCACGCGATTTCTTTTTACTATGCCATATAATCAATGAACAGGAAAAAAAACAGCAAGTAATGGTATAGTCAAACGGAAGATCACTGAAACAGCTCTTCTCTGGTCGTATCAGAAACGGAGACGTTAACATCCAGGAGTACTTCTGATGCACAAAGTTAGAGTTACCTCTGAATGACTTCACTTTCCTTAATAGCGTAACACCGTAGCTTCAAAGCCATGCAACAATGAATCATATAGAAAGGAAATACGTCATAAAACGACCTTCATTTAATAACAGTAACTGTCAAATTAAGTATGTTAATAAGATTATACGCTTTTGAATAATGAACTTTATGCTGCGTTGTAACAATGAATTATTATAGACAGTGGTTTTAAGATTAAACTGTATTTAGTCTTTTATTATTAAATCTACAGTGAAAACTTGCAAAGACTTTTGAATAGAATAAATAAGAATAACATGAACGCCATATAGACACGACCAAACTAACTTGCCGTTTATGGCAGGTTGAGCAAAGTTACTCACACCCTTTAACATGGAAATTGATTATCCTGGTTTTATCATCTTAAGCGATGGCACTATCCAACCAGAGCTAGAGAAGAGAAGAGTATTCCATAGCCTCAATGCTTTGGAAACCTATCCAATATTTTCACTGAAGAGTCATTATCCACAAAATGCGCCTGTATCTTACTCGTGTGAGGTTAGTGTAGTTGCATGGCATGAAGACAGATATAACGGAGGAGCAAGAACAACGGATGAATTGTGTACAGCAGCGTTGGCTTCGGCAAACAATACCGGTTTACCGGCAGGACCACGTAGCAAAGCCTATATCGCATTCCTGGCGATGATGTTAGTCGTAGGTAAGGAGATTGAAAAGTGAGCTTGAGGTTGTTTGAGAACTGGCTTAGCATAAATCGTTTTCTCCAGTTTACGGAACACGGCAAACATCGACTAGGAACAACAAGATAAGATTGAGGCACAAGGTAGGGGCAGACCTGTTTTCGGAAAAAAATTTTTTTATGATAACGTAGTTAACGTCTTGCAGAGAGAGAGAGTTGTAAAGCTGCAAATATAGCCGACTACAAACCGAAGACATTTCGCTTGTATGATTTGAACAAACAACGACAGTGCGGGAAGAACAGTTCATACAGTGAAAGTCAACGAATTCAGCGGCAACTGGAATAGACTGCTTTAGCAACAAAAACACTTTGGCCAGTTACGATGATAAAGACATATTTGCTTGCATTTCCAGACTTTAGTACATAGATGATCAGTTTCTCTATTTTAAAGATCTGTCCCTAAAAGAGAGTGCTTATGTGTCATGTAAACTTTTCATAAATTTAGTAACCGGGGTTGCTGGTTTCCAGTCGGTGCAGGCGTAGGGCTCAAAACCCAGAGGTCCTGGATTTGAGTGCCCGCTGCACCAACCACCTATCTCCCTTCCAATGTTCATTGATTCATTGTTGCATTGTGTTTAGCTAAGCCTGTTTGGAATGTGCTTCAGTGTGACCAACAATGCGCGAACAAAATGATCGATGTCTTATTATGAAGCAGAACTCGAGAAAGTTCACTTTAATATATAAGTGTTAATATATACTAGTGTTAATATTGTTACTACTGCTATTGCTGGCTCCATATCGTTGGAGCATGGATGAAACCAGTGTTAGATTGACTGTTACTCTTGTTCAGATGAGGGTCATAAATCCTCCTACTCATGTACGTTGAAACGTAAAGTGATGTTCCCGCCACTCACCAATGATGTCTGCCCTTGTCAAAAACCTTACCCGGTGCCACAGTTCTCTGCGTCCTTTGAACTGGATGAAGACTGATGAGATATTGGCAATAGTACGCGAATGTTGGCACCGAGAATGAACTGCCGAACAAACTCTTGCCAAAAGCGACAACAAATAAAGAAGATTGGAGAACCTCGACAAACGTTAGTGGTGCATTTCACAAAAGTATAGGTCTGCTGAGAAATAACATCATTGCAGTCACAGAACAGTATTTTGAATAACGAGATTCCTGACACGGAGAGCAGGACCACTTGACATTCGTTCATAAGCAGGAGCATTAATTAATTAATTAATCTTCCATGGCCGCTTATCCTTTCGTGTCGCCAGAACAGGCGTCTCAGACAATGTTTAGAAGGTTCCATCATGTGCCAGAGTCTGAACTTCGGCAGAAGACAGCTGGAGTCTGGAACATACTCCTTCCATATATTTGCACCGGGTTAACCTTGGCCGTTCCCTGGACGTTCTGCCGGTCAGATTTGCAAGAAACAGTTGCTTTGTCTTCCTTTCTCGAGGCATTCGCAACACATGCCCAAGCCATCGCAGCCATGACTTGTCAATCTGGAGAAGCAGAGGTAAACACAAGCAGTTATGAAATGTTGGCAATCTGCTGATATACGACATGTGAAATTCTCGTTGATTGTCGCCATTGAGTTACTAAGTTTATGACCGTTTTGATTGCAAAGTCTCTGACACGATGTTTCTGGACGAATCCGAATGTAGAACCTTTAACCACATCCAAAGTTTTGACAGAACAATGGCGTTTATTTCCTGCAGAAGACCATTTTGCGTGGTGGAAAGGCTGCAGACGATAAACGTTCCTTAGTTATGTTCGGTTGTGCTACTATAGCATCATAAGGCCATCATTTACCGTCTGTTACATCAGTACACTGAATTCAACACTGAACTGAAAGATCATCTCACTTCAATACGAGGTATATACGGCGAAAGAGCACCGCGCATCTTTACGTCAAGATGAAAGATCAAATGATTCGCTGAATAAATTATGACTCATCATTTGTACGGTAGTGTACCGTCCTCAGATAGTGCTTTTTAAACTAATTAAAGTATCAATATTAGTTAAACATTCGCCGATATCGACAATTCACTTACTTTTAAAGCATATTTTTTGTTAGTGTTCCTATCTTTGACCATGTACACAGCACCAAACCCGCCGGCGCCTATTTTTTTCTGAACAATCCATCTGTCATTTATAACTGTCCGTGCTGGAAGCTCTGGAGGCAGTACTTTCATCGCATATAGCTAGCTTTGAAAATTCACAGCGAAAGATGCTGCAGGTACATAAACAATCCATTGAACAGCTGGCGCTGTTGATTGCAGATACAGGGGCCATGCATCGTAAAATCGGAGCTAAAACATCCGTACTTTAAAGCAGTCCATTTTCAGTTGTAAAGTAGAACTACGGTGTAAAGTACAATCTTCAGCGTGGCTGTTGCGCTTTCGTTCTGAACTGTATAGCGCTAAAAGTGGAGGGGAGATCGCACGACAGGGCGAAGCGTGGAAAATATGTTAACTATTAAAGTACCCGCGGAGATCCATATTTAGCTCACAAACGTTAGCTGATAGCAAGCAAGGTGCTTTGGTAAGGTTATTCAGTCCTTTGAGAAATCATAAAAATGAGGGGTAGCAGCGCCCTCATTTGTCTGCCATCGGCGATACCATGTGATCCACGTGATTCCGACTATTGGGTGACATTGCAAGATTCAATGGCGATGCGCATCATTCGTGCTTATCTCCATGCATACCAGCAACGTACATCTTGCGCTTTCTTCATAGCATTGCACTAGCTGTTGCTAGAGAAATGCCTCGGCTTTGCAAGTCGAACGTGGAACATGGCTACCGTAACAGAATTCTTTGCCAACACGGTGGCTCGAGATTTGCTCCTGGTTGGAACAAGGGTCTTCCATCGACCACATGCACATGCTACTGATGAAGGCTATTCAAAAGCTGTAGTTCACAGACCTGTTATTTAGCGATATAGGAAACCTAGGACTGTAGTTTTGAATCCGAATCTATGAGGTCATTCGTTTTCCAAGAGACTGGAACTATTCGAGGTCTTTTCCTGCAGCTGCCCTTGGGCCCAAAAAAATAACGGGCATAAAATGAATGAATGAGGAACGGAAAGAGTTAAAAAAGAATGTCGGAAGGAAAGATGAATTGAAGCAACGGAGGAAGGAAGGAAAAAAGGGAAAAAAGAAAAAAGCGAAATGAAGAAGGAAGGGTAAATGATTGGAAGCAAGGAAAGAAAGACAGATAGGTGGATGGAAAGAAGGAAAAAAAGAAAAAATGGAACTGAAGAAGGAAAGAAAAAATAAATGACTGCATGAAGTAGAATGAACAAAAGCGAGTGAATATTTCACTGCATAACTCCGAGTTATACTGCCGAGTGAGTGAATATAACTCCGCCATGGCCGGTCCCAAGCCCAGATGAGAAAGGACGAGGGTTGGAGACCGTGGCAAGTTTCCGTAAAATTCAGCCACCTGCCACTCATGGTATTGGCGCCATCGAAAATTATACCGGTTCGGTCGTCGCCCGGGTTACCAAGGGCCGCGCAGGCTGTTGGGGGACT